GAGAAAATTTCCTGTAGCTGTCGAGTTACGTTTTCTACAGTATTTAAAGATTGCGGGTATGTGTTCAATTGATACTTAATAGATTCTATGTCATCTAAACATATGTTTGCTTTAAATTTTTCAGAGTATTGAGGCTGCCAACTTGGTTTATTATGAATTGTTTTATTATCACACTGTGCGTTTCTATGTGTGTTAAACAATTTAAACGAAAACTTTACAGCACTGTGTCCGTCCGAAAATAGGCTATCAGTTTCTAGTATTTCGAAAGAGTTAACGTATTGAAACATTTCAGCTGTTACGATAACATAATCGATTAAAGACTTATCTCTGAATGTTAATTTACCAACGTTAACGTCAACGTCAAATCGGCCGTTCATTATAAATAGATTATTGTTTCGACACGTTTCAATGAGCCGGATACCATGTGCGTTAGTTTTCTTATCTTGAGAGGACCTAGCTAGTGGGATATTAAATTTTTCTAGCAATGTGAATTTATCGAAATAGGCTTGAGATTCTTGATCAATATCAAATATATCGTTTAAAAAGGGGTCCGACGGTATGAAGTCAGGGAGCTGGGACGTTCTGGCATTGACATCGCCTGCAAAGGCATACATATTTATATTTACTACACATAGAAGTTATTTCATTATCAAATTCGTCGACGCCATTTTTCATTAAGAAAACGTGAATTTTCCGGTGGTAAATAAATAGCACCTAAATACTACGTGTTCATCGTAGCTAAACAACTGTTTATTTAGTTGGAGCCAAAGAATATACTCGGAATTACTATCTAACATTTTGATATGTTTTGAAAATTTGTTACGTACATATATACCTATTCCTCCTGATTTTCTTATATATAGATTTTCCGACCTTGTTTTTCGACAAAAAAGTATAGCCATTGATATCAACTATGTCTGTATTGTCTAATTTCGTTTCAAGAATTATAATGATATCATAATACATAATCATCTCAGAAATTCTGGATATTTTTAATCTTCGCTTAAGTCCACTAACATTTAAACTGAGACATTTCAAGTCACCATAGCTGTCACTGATCCCCCCGTGAACCTAGTCTCTTCCATCCGGGCTTTTGCAGTTATCAATTGTATTGGTATTAACACTTGGCCATTGCTGAGAATCGAGAATGTGATTTGGGCCATTTGGTGAATGATTGTTCCAAGGGCGAATAAAGTCACGTGCTCCCACATCACGTGGTCCTTTTTTAGTTCGTGGTGCGTCCGAGGTTTGGTAGCGTCTCGGAGTCTGGTTGGTAGCACGTACAAAACGACGTTCACGTAATAGTGGCGGCGATCTTGATTTGCTGCGGGATTGTCTGTCAATAGTTTTGTGTGTTGGAGAATAATCACGGAATGGTTGTTGGCTACTCTGAATATGAGTCGGATGTGACTGATTACCTGGTTGATCACGTGATGTTGTAGCCTTACCGTCGGGAGATTTTTGGTGCCGACCGATCCTGGGTGCCCTAGACTGTCGTCTTTTTTTTGTGAAATTGGAAAGTTTCTTATTGAATTTGTAGGCTATTGGTGGTGAAATTTCGTGACCGGGCCATGATGGTATTCCAGTCGGGAAGCAGTCGTACACAACTTTCCGTCGATAATTATTTTTAGCGGGATATACGAGGCTCACTTTGTTATCTGATATTGTTCCCGAAGCATTTTAACCCTTGGCCAAAGTATACGCCTGGCATCCACGATTTCTTTAGGGAAATCTCTGTTGATGCTTTTCTTTGACCCGGCGAGCTTGTAAGCGTTAGCGAGAATGTTTTCAACATCCCCGTAATCACGGAAGTTAACGATTATGGACCTTGTATATTCTTTGTTAAACGGCCCTAAACGATGAGCTCTAGTAATATATGGCACCTTCTGATATTTCAAGAGAGTCTTTGAGAAAGTTTTATAATTGTACTCTTGCAATTTTCATGTCGCGTTTCAGGAAAAACCAGCGAATAATAAATTGTTTCGCCTACTTCTAGCATCTTGGTCAATGGATTTGTAGTCAATTATTGTCTGTTTCTGCATGTAATTCTCGAGTTTTTGATCAATTTGACCTACTTTTCGTCGATAAATTCAGACATGTATCGAGTTTCTTTTCAATTGATTGCATATATTGTTTACATTCTTGGTTATCGGCGAATATCACCAAAAGTTTATCATCTGTATTCATATTTCTATATTCATATTCAGTCACACTAGAACCAAGCTTTTTTCTTTTTTGTGATTGTTTAACAGTGTTCCAACCCCCATGGGAGCTACTCTGACTTTCCAGGTTAAAAACTTCAGGTGAACTGTCATGGCCGTCGTCGTCATCGACGTGGCGGGGTCCTAGAGCTTCATATTGGTTTCTGTCAGCTAGCATTTCAATTGGCGGCAACGGAAAGGGATTTACCTGACCACTTGAGAATACATTTTTGCCATGTCTCTGACCATTTTTAGTATAATTCGAAGCCATTTTAATGATAAATTTGATTTTTTTTTAATCAGGATATTTCAAAACTCGACTTTCACAAACCGGAAACGGAAGCAAGTCATCGTGTGTAGATTTCATGTGTGTTTTTTAAACAATTAATGGCAATGTGAGCAGTTTTTTTTTTGTGTATTTAGACAATCTTTGGAATAGACAATCGGCGATCGATGTATTTAATTTCATTGCTCTGGTAAGTACTATGTATATGTATGCACCACATTTAAAGTTATGAAAACCTTCTTTTTTTTTTTTTATTTTCCCGCCGCCGACCCTACCTTTTTTTGGAAAAAATCAGTAAACCAAAATATAAAAAAAAAATGGCCTAAAGTTCGTATACGAATTTTACTATGCAAATGAAGATTATAATCAGCTTGTGTATGCGCTACGTCACAGTGTTATAGCTGCTATCCGGAACACAACAAATATGAGATTTTCTTGTGCAAACACATTTTAACCGTTTAACTTTACGGTGCACTAGGCCTGAGGTTCAGTAGAAATTAATCATCTCAGAAAAAAAGATTAAATTTGTATGAAAACATCCGTTATAAGCGTAAATATACCGTTAAATTAGGACTGCTGCTTGTAGTCACGTTTGTTGATTTAATATTGATGTACGGATGATCTGAAGGCGGAGTTTCTCATGCAAACAGATATTGTTCTTCTGATTTCGTCACAATGAGGTTGTCCATTTTTTATGCTTATAAAACTCATTTTGGTTGTCTGGACACCAAAATAAGATATAGAGTCGATATAAAACCCAATTTATTAATGAAATGTCGCTATTTTTGTTTTTATGAAATTTATTTAATGTAACTTTAATATTAATTTTTAGTCAATGACCATTATCATAGTCAATCTTTTGAAATAACTATTTTAGCTCAACCTGAAAATGAAAACAAGAGCCCGGTTTTTGATACAGGAAAGTAGTATACTTATTGTAGTTTCAGAGATATGTCCCTGGACAAAGTTCAAAATGCAATAATTCCAGAATAAGGCAAGGCAGATAACTGTTCTTTGCAATGGACTTCTAATAAATGATATCTATCTACCTACAAAGTTTCTTGTCAGATACCTGTTATGGTTTTCGAGTATCCCTGACAAAGTTTAAAATGTAAAAATGAACAAAGGGGAATAACGCCAAAATAAGGCAAAGCAGGGTTACGTTTCTTGTGCACTGCACATCTACCTATTGAGATCTATCTACCTACAAAGTTTCATGTTGAAATCTCTTATAATTATAGAGTTATGTCTCAGGCAAGATTTTTCTATAAGGGGAGATAATTCAATTACAGGGCTAAACCAGAGTTATAATCTTATTATCTCATAATTTTAGAGTAATATCCCGGACAACTTTCAAAGTGTAAAAATATCTAAATGGCAATAACACCAAAATTTGGCAAAGCAGAGTTACGGTTCTTATGCACTGCACATCTACTCATTGAGATCTGTCTACCTACAAGTTTCATGTTTATATCTCTTATAATTATCGATTTATGACAAGATTTTTCTAAAAGGGGAGAAAATTCAAAAACGGGGCTGAGCAGAGTTATGGTTCTTTTAAAATACATTTCTACCCAATGAGATCTATCTACCTACAAAGTTTCATGTTGATATCTCTTATAATTTTAATGTTATGTTCTTGACAAGTTCGAAGTGTTAAATTGAACAAAGGGCAATAACTTCAAAATTAGGCATGGCAGAGTTACGGTTCTTAGAGTTATGTCCTGGACAATATTTTTCTAAAAGGGAGATCATTCAAAAACAGGGCCAGTGGTGCTTTTGCACTGCATTTCCACCCAATGAGATCTATCTCCCTACAAAGTTTCATGTTGATATCTCTCATAATTTAAGAGTTATATCCTGGACAAGATTTTTCTAAAAGGGCAGATAATTAAAAAATGGGGCAAAATAGAGTTATGGTTCTTTGACACTGCACTCCGCCTAGATGTCTTCTACTACTGTGTGAAGTTTAAACAAATTATCTCCAAGGGTTTTCAAATTATGCTCCGGACAAGACAACAGATGGACGGACAGATAGACAAGGTGGCGACTTCGGAGAGCATATAAAAAGCGCATAATGTCACTTTACAGCTGCATGCCTCCAGATGAGCCAAAATTGTTCAAGAAAATTAAGCTTTAGAAAAATCTACTGTACACAGACTTAAAGAAAAGTAAAAAGATTTAAGTCTACAAATTATGTTATGTGGGATTAAGAACTGATTTTGCACTTAAAATAATTTTTATCACCATATTTCTACTGTGTTACATACACAGTAAGGTCTACTTTTGCTTTTGTTAATTTAAGTGGGTTGCAAGTGCTTGCAATGTGTTAATTATTTTCTTTGTTCACTTTACAGTATTTCACTTTTAAATACATTTTTAAATTTTTCATAATAATTAGTATGAATCTGGAGGCATGCTGCTTTAAACTCTCTAGAATAACACCTGTCAGCAACAACCAAGGTGTGTTACTATGCAAAGGTTGAACTTTATATGAACATAAACATCACCTTTTATCAACTTACCTTACATTTTAAGCAAATTTTCCTGGCCTTAAAAAGAGGATGGTCAAAGGAAACTGTCTCATTTTTTGCTTGACAAGCAAAGCATGTTCTATCCCCGTCTTCCATTACAGTAACCGTATCTTCAATCTCTGACCTGTTTATAATCAGAAACAGTTTTCTGTCTTAATTTTTAATAAAAAAAATCATTTAAGGTGATTTATTTTAAAGTAAGTGAAAAAATACACTTTTAAGTGAAGAATATTGTCTAACTTTGGCACAAAAATTAGTAAATTGAGAGATGATAGCTACAAGAAAAGGTATTTCAAGTATGAAACATTATAATGTAATGAATTTTGAGAAAGTAATATGAAAATGCAAAATTACTGAAAGGGAGATAATTAAACAAAAACAATTGACTTTTACAGTTATCTGCCCTGATTAAATGCATTCCATTTTAGATAGTGAACATGTTAAAAAATGTGATGAAGTAACCACAGTTCTTTGGCACATTTGTCTTGCTTATCATGAATAATGATAATCTCCCCTTAGGCTGATCAACAAACTAATAAGGGTAGACATAATCTGTTGACACTGTACGTAAGTACTTTGTAAAAAATCACCAAATATCCAGCAAGCAATAAATGTGTATTTGTAATTTAAATAACGATGATTCAAAACAATCTAATAATGGCCGCAAAATCACAACATATGTGCCATATTACAAATGACGCACATAATTATGACGTCACAAGCACAACAATCATGGTGGCAAAGGTGTAAATATTTCAAAATATGAAGTAGATTAAGTCTGTATCACTGAATAGAAGAAGAACAAGTTAAATTTCAGGTAGGAGATCATATGAATTCATATGTTTTAAATAATATAAGGAGTATTTCCAGGTTGTTTTAAACACCAGAAAGCCTAATGTTCAACTGCCTTATATTTCTCTTTTGCAGATACATTACTGTATAGAATAAAAAAAATGGGTCAAAGATAAAAAAAAGGCAGGGTTGCATTTGTATACCAATTATCACGAGGCTGTGATGTTACAAAAAATGTTTATCAATTTTTTAATTTGACCTTAATGTCGAAAACTTAACTTAGTCGGTAAATAGGAAGTGGATGAGCAACAGACCTGAAATCGAATCCCACGGTATGGGAACACTAGTTAATGATGTATGCTAAATATCAAAAGACTGTGATAAGTAGTTGCTGAGAAAAATGTTACGACAATTTCCTACCATTGACCATTAATGTCGAAAATTTGAAGTCGGTAAACAGGAAATGGATGAGTAATACAGACCTGAAATCAAATCCCACTACATGGGACCACTAGTTAATGCTGTATGCCAAATATCAAGAGGCTGTGATAAGAAGTTGCTGAGAAAACTGTTACGAAAATTTCCTATCACTTATGTAGAACATTTAACTAAGTCGATACACAAGAAATGGATGAGCGACAGATCTGAAATGGAATCCCACAGTATGGGACCACGTGTTAATGCTGTATGCCAAATATCAATCAAGAGGGTGCAAAAAGAAGTTGCTGAGAAAACTGTTAGGAAAATTTCCTATCATTGATCATTAATGTCAAAAAATTTAACTAAGTCCGAAACATGGATGAGTGACAGATTTGAAATCAAGAAATCAAATCCCACAGTAAGGGACCACGTGTTAATGCTGTATGCCAAATATCTGTAATGCATTAGAAAATGAATTTACTTTCAATATATACTTAATATCACAGAATAATAAATCAGATACAAAATATAAACCTTATCTTCCTAGGCTTCTCTTCTCTTGACCTTGACCTACTTCTAGAACTACTTGAGCAATTTCTACGTTTGTCCTCCCTAGAGCTTGACCTAGATTTTCTAGACAGACGTCTAGCAGATAGCCATAACCTCTTCCTCACAGGTGACCTTGATGGTGACCTCTTTGACCCTATAGGTGAAGGTGATTTACGTTTCCTTACTGGTAATTTTGACTTTGACCTTTTTGTCTGTACAGGTGATGCAGCAGAAGATGACCATCTACTTCTAACTGGTGATCTTGATCTTGACCTTTGACCTCTTCTTGGAGGCGGTTCTGGTGAAGAAGAGGGAGACCTAAACTTCTGGTGTCTTTCCCTCGCTACAGGAGCCTTCTTTTGTTCAACCAATTTACTTGAAGCAGTAACATTTCTCCTTGATTCATTTTTAGATGACCTTGAATGTTTCTTCGAGGCTTCTTTCTCCAATTCTGAATCCAAGGCATCGCCTCTCTTCACTTGTACCTTACGAGATTGAGATCCTTTCTTCAGCTGAACTGTTCTTGTGGAGCGTGAAGCTAATGCCGCTCTACCAAGCTTTTCTGTTTCAGACTCAGAATCCTCGTTATTGTCATTGTGACGTTGATCGTTTATTTCTCTCTCTTCAGATGAGGAGTCATACCCCTGGTGACCTCTGCTTGGCACACGTTCTTTTTTGGGCTGTCTTTTCCGGATCCGGTCTCTCAAACCAATTTTTTCCAGATCGCGATTGCCCCCATTACCAGTTTCCATCCCATATCTTTGTGAAACATCTACATCTGAACCATCACTGCTGCTGTCTCTTCTAGATTTACCTCCCCTTTTAGAAATTAAAGAGATAATAAAGATTTGCAATTATTTTTTTCTTCTCATTTCCAAGTTGTTTTAAACACCAGAAAGCCTACTGTTTAACTGCCTCCTATTTCTCTTTTGCAGAAATATTACTGTATAGAATAAACAAGAGCCAGTTGAACCGGGTGATGCTCCCAGAATAGGTTTTGGACCTCTTGTATGTCAAAGTAATGTCACAGACAAAGTTCTAAGTGTAAAAACAACCCAAATGTTGCGCGCCACACATTGTCTCAATATGGTGATTATTTCTGTATAATAGTTGTAAAATCCGACTTCAAATAACGAAGTTATGGACTGGACACTATTCTGCTTCAAGGTCATGCTGTGACCTTGACCTTCAAGGTAGCCACCCAAATGTTGCGCGACAGATCATCTCAATATGGTGATCATTTCTGTAATATAGTTGTAAAATCCGACTTCAAATAACAAAGTTATGGGCCGGACAGGATTTTGCTGCAAGGTCATGCTGTGACCTTGACCTTTAAGGTAGCCGCCCAAATGTTGCATGCGGCACATTGTCTCAATATGGTGATCATTTCTGTGAAATAGTTTTAAAATCCGACTTCAAATAACAAAGTTATGGGCCGGACATGATTTTGCTGCAAGGTCATGCTGTGAGCTTGACCTCAAAGGTAGTGACCCAAATGTTGCACGCGACACGTTATCTCAATATGGTGATCATTTCGATGAAATAGTTTTAAAAACCGACTTCAAATAACAAAGTTATGGGCCCGACATGAATTTGGGACGTACGTACGGACGGACAACCAGGCGACTATTATGCTCCCCCGAAATATACAGGAAGTGGATGAGAATCAATCCCACAGTAAGGGACCACGTATTAATGCTGTATGCCAAATATCAAGAGGCTGTGATAAGTACAGTCGAGACTGTCATATGTGACTTTCCAAGGGATCTTCAGAAAAAGGTCACATATGACAGGGAGTCTCTTAATACAGTCTCAAAGAAAATTAAATTTAAACATCATCTCTCTGTCTATATACCATTGTGGCTTAAAGATGCTGTATGTTTTGTGATTGATATTGTTACTGTGTGTATACGAATGAATGAATGAATATATGAAGTTAAAGCTTAATGAGGGTCCATTGGCCCTTTCAGGCACAAAATGCAGCTTGTGCTGTCGAGTACGGACCCCCGGACATGTCACCAGTCATATCCTTAAAGAGTTAATTTTGAAGCACAAAGTGGTGACAATATAGCTCCAATTTCCACGGAGTATTAGCCAAAAGATATGAATTTTGTGTGTGTATACGACAATTGCAATAAATATATATATGGATATAATTATGCAAATAAAACAATTTTCCAACATCAAAGAATATGTAAAATGTGTACTGCAAATATTTGTGCACATTATATTTAATCAATAAATTACATGCATTGATTTCTTATTGGAAAATTTGACTTAGAATTTATAGAAAATAAAGTTCTAATTACATCCCTTTAATGGCCTTTATTTACATGAAATGCTAAATTGGGTGATATCTTTATAAATCATGCTTATTTGAACTTACGATATTGACAAATCGTAATTTGAGCATCATATAAAAATTTATGAAATAAAACCATGAAAAAATCGTGTTACATATCCATATCCAAAGCTTTTTCTGGTTTGGTATCAATATTTTTTCTGTATTAATTATGCAGCCATAGAAAGGTAAATTTAAAAAATGCTGCCTAAAAAATCTTCCTCGGGCACTCTATAATTAAAAAAAAAATCTAACACAAGTCTTAACCCAGTTTATTCCGGCCATTATACATTACACACACATCGATTGCATCATGCTTCCCATGAACAGACGCTATGTCACTTGATACCTGCATGTACGTATACTGTGTAATTGAGATAGAGGTGTGTAGACTTTGTTTGCTACTGGATTATAATTGGACTTAATTATTTTGGCCCTCTGGGTGTTATAATAGGTATTATTTATCTGATTAACGGACAATTAAAAGGTGTGAAAGTCGTTTAAATCAGACCAAACATTGCATTGGGACCAGACAATTAGGGTCGCTTGTCACATATGACAGGGAGTCGTTTAATTCAGACCATTTATATAGGAAAATACGTTGGGAGTACTGAAACAAGGTCGGATAAGACAGGGAGTCGTTTAAACCAGGGGGTCGCTTAGGCAGTCTCGACTGTAGTTGCTGAGAAAACTGTTACGAAAATTTCCTATCATTGACCATTAATGTTGAAAATTTTACTAAGTCAGTAAATAGGAAAAGGAAGAGCGACAGACCTGAAATCAAATCCCACTACATGGGACCACGTGTTGATACTGCATACCAAATATCAAGAGGCTGCAATAAGTAGTTGCTGAGAAAAATGTTACAAAAATTTCCTACCATTCATAATTTAATGTTGAAAATTTAACTAAGTCGTTAAACAGAAAGTGGATGAGTGACAGACATGAAACCTAATCCCAAAGTATGGGAACATGTGTCAATGCTGTATGCTACATATCAAGAGGCTGTGATAAGCAGTTGCTGAGAAAACTGTTACGAAAATTTTTCCCCACCCGCCGCCCATCATTTACCATCATACTATAACCTGGGTTTGCACATGTGCAATCTGGCCAAACATGAAATTCGTTACCTGTTATTTGAAAAATAGATTTCATTAAAACGACAGAATATAAGACATAACAACATAATGGCAAGAATTAAAAAAAGATACATATGATATAATATTCCTAGTTTTAAAATATGCATTATTTTTGTAAAAAAAACTACGGAAGCAAATTCGGGATGTAAAAACAAGTTTTTGTCGTTGAAACCATATTATATTAGTCTTGTCTAAATTGTTCAATTATTTAAAATAATATACAAGTAGAATTTCTAAAAATAAACATTTCTATCACATTTTAGATAAAAGACTCTGTACGACTTTTTGGAGTGGGCTCCAATGATATTTAAAGCTACCCTTCAAATACTAATGCTGTTTTTTTAAAGCTACCCTTCAAATACTAATGCTTTTTTTTTTAAAGCTACCCTTCAAATACTAATGCTTTTTTTTTTAAAGCTACCCTTCAAATACTAATGCTTTTTTTTTTAAAGCTACCCTTCAAATACTAATGCTTTTTTTTTTAAAGCTACCCTTCAAATACTAATGCTTTTTTTTAAAGCTACCCTTCAAATACTAATGCTTTTTTTTTTTAAAGCTACCCTTCAAATACTAATGCTTTTTTTTTTAAAGCTACCCTTCAAATACTAATGCTTTTTTTTTTAAAGCTACCCTTCAAATACTAATGCTTTTTTTTAAGGTAGGTTCTGTATTCTTTGATGTTTCTTTAGTCAAAGAAGATACACAGAGGTGTGCAATATATTTAATTTTTAAGCCATTTTGAATGTTCTTATTAAACCCATTTTTATCAAAATTTATGTTTAATATCCAAACTTATTTTGCTGGGAAAGCTTTTACTTGAATTTATTTATCACATCAATTTTTTTGCTATGTAAGCATTGCAACCTTTAACCTTTTTTCAGTTAAATGATGATAGTATATGTTCCTATAGTTTGTGTCTCAAAAATAATAATATGGAAGCAAATTTTCATAAAAAGTTAAGTTTCAGTAATTGTAAGAGTATTACAGTATACCTGACTCATCAAATATATTATAAAATATAATGGATAGATTAAACGAAACTTACCTTCGTAGAAGGGATGTTGAAGTTTGATCCAGATTTTATCAACTGTAAACTCACTTGGGGATCACACAGAGATACAGCGTGGCTTATCAGCTTCAGTCAGTCTTTTAGAGCTATATAGCAGATACTTGCAAACAATAAACAATTGTAACAAGGATCTGCTATTTGAATACAGAATCAGAATATTCATCATATTGGGAGGGTAAAAAGGGTGGGTGTGTGATCCCCAAGTGAGTTTACAGTTGATAAAATCTGGATCAAACTTCAACATCCCTTCTACGAAGGTAAGTTTCATTTAATCTATCCATTTTATCAACTGTATAACTCCCTTGGTGGACCCCACAGAGATTTTAGAGCTGATTCTGTACGAAGTAGGAATCAAAAGTAATTAAAAAAACATGTATGATTCAATTTCTTCTTTTTATATTCCATGCATACAATAAGATTGTTACAAACAAAGTATACAGG